TCAAACACGTGGTGGCGGCCATCTTATCTGGTCGAACTTGTTCACATGTGTTTTGTCGTTGAGTTCATGGAACTCAAATCGGACACGCAATGGCACTAATACTGCTGAACAGTTACCCTCCAGAGTCGAACGGCGTATGGTGACACACATTTACTATGTTCATTCACCATTATGTAATTAGAACGGTACTTCGACTGTAAAAAAGACCGGCCGCACAGCCTAATTCTCTGGAACTGTTTTGGGCATGAAACCATGCGTGCGGTCAGTCAAAAAGAGACTTCCAGACTTCCGGGTGATTTGGATATGTTGTTCACCCAGATCAGGGCTACCAGGGGATGTGACATTTATGGGGATATGTTGTGTTTTGGGGTACTTTTTGGGGTTTCGTAAATTGTATGTTTTTCTGTGCTTGAAAATAATTGGGTTCGATTAGTACAGTCCCTGATTCAATTATCTCCTAAGCACAGAGGAGGGATTCCAATGTTTATGTATGGGAGTGTCCCACTGTATAACGCTGTTTTTATGGGTTTGTTCACTTTGTGTCCCTGTGCCCAACAAGGTTCACCTGGGTGTCACCCTTGTTGGGAAACTTGCATAAAAGGCCAGTGTGCCTCCATTAAAATTGAGTTCCTGTTTTACCCTCAACATAGTCTCATCTTATGTGTGGGGGGAAAGGCTGCATCTACGCTGGGGATTGCTATATCACTATACTCACCTGGGATTATAATCACTAGCTCTTTTAAGAGCTGTTCTTGCTACGCTCTCTGGAGTAGGTTCACCCACTGGATCCTGGTCTTGGGTCCAGGCTGGGTGGAGGATGGCTGGGTGGAGGATGGCTGGGTGGAGGATGGCGAGTTCCCAAACAAGCTGTAACGCTAGACATGGAGTGCTTGGAGTCCTCGTGAGTATTAGGATCATCCGTTGGCGGAGGTACCCAACCGGGGTACAGGAAGTTCAGTTACACTAATGGGGACCAAAAAGTACACAGCTTGCTAACTGGAATAGGGCCTGTTTCGACTGCTAACATGATGGCTTTTCTTCATGCCCTGAGGCTTACTTCCAAAGCTGGGACAGTGCCTAAAAATGTCTACCTGTTTACACTACTCTGGCTCATCTGTTAGTATACTCTATGTCTACTATATCATCTACCCATCCCATAGTATTTTTTTACGTGACTTTTCTTTTTTGCCTGCTTTATTGTTTAAACCTTTATGTAATCCTACGTCAGCCATATCTATTTTCTAACGCCGGTTTCAGCACCATCAGAGCGACATTTTAGGAGTTAACTCCCTCCTCCTTTTGGTGCTCGGAGTTAGCAAGCCCTTTAAAATTCACTGTGAATTATTGTGGGACAATAAGTTATTCACTACCCCCACTAGCTATCTCCCCTATAAATAGCTGTGTTTTTGATTATTGTGGCTTCTTTTCTGCACACTTCCCTGTAATGTTTTCAGTGATTACTGATAGGGTTGTTACAATTGTCTGATATATCTGTCATACACCATTTCACTAAACTGTATTGTAGTCCCATTAAATGTCATCTATAATTTGTGCTAGCAGGCACGCAAATCGTCTTTACAACTGGCATCATGAGTGAATAGGGGTTCTAAACAAAATGGGCCATAAGTTAACTTTAGATGGATACTACAGTCCCCTCTGGTCCCCCCTCCAGCAGCTTAAGGGTTAAAAAAAACCTTTAGTCACTTACATGATGAGCGCTCCTCCTTCTAGTGCATGGCGAGCACCGAGAGCGCATTTGGTCCTGTGCACCCAGATCACTTTAATGAAATAAAACACTCCATAGCCCAGTGTACCTATACAATATACCATATTCCCAGGGCCGACACTTCCTAAGGAGGGCACCCATAAGAAGCCCCTCTACTATGTGGGACACGTTCTATTGCTATTGCAGGTCATGGCACCGGGCGCTAGGGAGCACTTACATAGCTGCAGATTAGTGCCCCCTGCCTTCAACTTCAGCCCACAAAGATCAGAGAGCCGCCCTCTCACACACCTCTCATATGGCGACAGTACTCTGGGTTAAGTGGGCGGGAGGATAGTGGGGGTAGAGCAAGGCCTGGACTGGGACCCACGGAGAGACCATTTAAAATGAAGACAAGTGGGGGACTTCATGGTGTGTGTGTCAGCCTGTTTCAGTCAGTATGTTTGTATGTACTTGGGTCAGTGTGTGTTTGTGTCTGGATCCAGGACCACCATCAGAAATTTTGGGGCCCCTGACAAAGCACAAGGTCTGCCCCCCCACCCTCGCTCCCGGGCCCGCCCACGCCCTACCTAGTCCGCTGACAATGATGCAGGATGGAATGTGTTGTGTACAGTGGAAGTGAATTAGAATGTGTGTAATGGATGTAGTGTTTGTGTGTATTAGATACTGGTTGTGCAATGAATGCAGAGTGTGTGTTTGTGTAGCGGATGCAGTGTGTATAGTGAACGCAGAGTGTGTTTGAGTAGTGGATGTAGTGTGTGTACAGTGATGTAGTGTGTGTTTGTGTAGTGGATGTAGTGTTTGTATGTACTAGATGAAATGTGTTTAGTGGATGCAGTGTCTGTAGTGGATGTAGTGTGTGTATTAGACGCAGTGTCTGTGTATAGTGAATGCAGAGTTTTTCAATTTTTTGGGTGGATGTAGTGTGTGTACTGTGAATACAGGATGTTTGTGTAGTGGATGCTGTGTGTACAGTTAATGCAGAGTGTAGGTTAGTGTAGTGAATGCAGAGTGTGTGTCAGTAAAGTGGATCCAGAGTGTGTGCATAGTTTAGTGAATGCAGGGTGTGTGTTAGTGTGTAGTGAATGCAGAGTGTGTCAGTGTAATGAATGTAGTGTGTGTGTTAGTGCAGTGAATGCAGAGTGTGTGTAAATGTGTAGTGAATGCAGAGTGTGTCTTAATGTGTAGTGAATGCAGAGAGTGTGTTAGTGTGTAGCGGATGCAGAGTTTGTGTTAGTGTAGTGAATGCAGAGTGTGTTAATGTGTAGTGAATGCAGAGAGTGTGTTAATGTGTAGCAAATGCAGAGTGTGTGTCAGGGTAGTGTATGCAGTGTGTATGTTGTATTAGTGTATGCAGTGTGTGTTGTGTTAGTGTATGCAGAGTGTATGTTGTATTAGTGTATGCAGTGTGTGTTGTGTTAGTGTATGCATAGTGTGTGTTGTTAGTGTATGCAGAGTGTGTGTTGTGTTAGTGTATGCATAGTGTGTGTTGTTAGTGTATGCAGAGTGTGTGTTGTATTAGTGTATGCAGTGTGTGTGTTGTGTTAGTGTATGCAGAGTGTATGTTGTATTAGTGCATGCAGTGTGTGTTGTGTTAGTGTATGCAGAGTGTGTGTTGTGTTAGTGTATGCAGATTGCGTGTTGTGTTAGTGTATGCAGTGTGTGTGTTGTGTCAGTGTATGCAATGTGCCTGTTGTGTTAGTGTATGCAGAGTGTGTGTTGTGTTAGTGTATGCAGAGTGCGTGTTGTGTTAGTGTATATTAAATTTCATTAAATGTTTCTCCCCCCTCCCTGCTTCTTACCTGTGTCCAGGGAGGGGGGAGATTCAATTCCCTGGTGGTCCGGTGGCATGGGGGGCGCCCGACTCCCTGTACTTGCAGAGGGGGCCCAGCACACAGCTTCTACTCTTCTCTTCTAATAACTCTTGCGAGACCCGCGGAGCGTTGCCATGGTAACCGGGTCTCGCGAGAGTTATTAGAAGTGAAGAGTAGAAGCAGTGTGCTGGGCCCCCTCTGTGGTAACAGGGAGCAGGGGGCCCGCGGCTGCACACATAGATAGCGATATTCGCTATCTATGTGTGCAGAGAGGGAAAGTGGGGCCCGGGACTGCCAGAGCAGCCCGTGACAACCATCATGGTTGTCACCCCCTGATGGCGGCCCTGTCTGGATCAATGTGTGTGAGTCTGCTTAGGTCAGTGCTTTTGGATCAGCATGTTCTGGATTAGTATTTTATGTGTGTATACTTGGGTCTGTGTGTGTGTCTGTTTGGGTCTGTGTGTGTGTCTGTTTGGATCTGTGTGTGTCTGCTTTGGTCTGTGTGTGCCTGGATCAATGTGTGTGTCTGATTGGGTCTGTGTGTGTCCATCTGCATCAGTCAGTGTGTGTGTGTGTGTGTGTGTGTGTGTATGCTTGTGCCAGTGTGTGTGTGTCAGTGTATGTCTGCTTGAGTCAGTGTGTGTGTCACTCTGTGTGAGTCAGCTAATTTGTGTGTGCATTGGTCACTGATTGTGATTGTGTGGACCATTGAGTGTGAGTGAATGAGTGGGTGTGAGTGTATATGTATGTAGTATCAGTGATTGTATTTGGGCAAAAAATAAAAAATAAAAAACAATACTTTTAAAGAAACACTACAGTGTTAGGAATATAAACCTGTATTTTGAATACTATAATGTCTCTGTCCCTACATAGATTCAAGCTCCCCCCCCCCACCATAAAAAATATATATATTTTTTTTAAAAAGTAGGTGGGAGAGTTACATACATTTATCAAGCACCAATACTCCCTCTGCACTGATTGCCTCTATTCCTCGCTCAATGTCACTGATGGAGCAACACTGGCCCAATCCAATGTCCATACAGGAGCATTGTGGACCTGATGCGCTATGCACTTCCAGTGCTTCTCGTAGTTAAACATGACATTGTAGCGGATGTGTCTTTAGTGGCTGTCAGTGTGACAGCTACTAGAGGCTTGTTTAACCCTTCAAGGTAAGGCAATGTTTTATCTTGTGGGGTTAAACCTCTAGGACCACTATGGAGCGAATAGGGCGGCAACTTCTTTTTTGCCTAGTGCTGCAAAAATCCGTGCATCGCCCCTGCATGTTCCTGTGACATGCCCATCAATGCTGGGATTTTTCTTAGACTGTTTATATATATGCTGTGCATCTATCTCACATCAAGCCACTAGATGGCAGTAAATATATCTGTAGTGAAAGCACAAATGTGGCTGTGTTTCTATTTCAGGTGTTAATGCATTCTGAGTGAGTGACATTGAATATTATCATTCCAATCATGCAGTTTAGAATCCGCTCTGGCCCTCTCTATTTAATTACATACTGACTCAGCTCTACGTCACAACAAATCTATATTCAGTATTCCCAACAATCTCAAGGGTTTCAAATGTATTCCCTGCATTGCCGGCCGAGTCTGCATATATTGCTTCACGTTTTCGTGGTTTACTAATATTTCTCGTCCATAACCACGAAAAGTTTTACTCGAGTTAGTGTGATTGTTCTTTCAACTTATTAAACTTCACCTTTCAGGACTTTCCTCTATAAGCTTGGTTGCTTCACCTAAGTGCTGTTTCTAAGTGTGTAGTTGGAGATATTCTGGAGAGTTTTACAGAAGCTTCAACTGTCTAAGAGTTGTGCTAAGAGCTTTCTTTTCTACTGTTACAGGTAAGATTCATCTGTAGGAAAAGGTTACTGATTGCACAAGGTTTGAATTCCTGTTGGTAATTATAAGGCATTTGATTTGATTAAGCTAGTTACTTGCTATTGATTGCTGGTTAATTAGCTATTGTTTGCAAATAAGCAGAGGCCTACCCAGGTGTTAAACATTCCTAGTGGGTGGTGATTTTAGGAGTTATATAAGGCTTGTTGTCATTAGCTTGGCTAATATTGCTTGGTTGCTTCAGCTAAGTGTTGCTTCTAAGTGTGTAGTTGGAGATATTCTGGAGAGTGTTGCTTCTAAGTGTGTAGTTGGAGATATTCTGGAGAGTGTTGCTTCTAAGTGTGTAGTTGGAGATATTCTGGAGATAAACTGGAGGTAATCTGAGGTATTCAGCAGGAAATAAGAAAAAAGTTGAGATTAGTTTGAGTTAAATTATTTTCCTCATTGGAATGGCAGACTTAGTTCAGTGTAATAGTTGCTATGCATTTGTTTCACTGTCTACTTTTTGGAGATTTGGTTGTTGTCTAATCTGTAGACAGTTCTCTATCTTGCGGCAGGAGATTGTATTTTTGAAGTCTGAGATTTGTAAATTATCTGGTGAACAAACTCAGACTGGAACTGCTGCAAAGCTACTGCCGCAGAGACATACTAGGAATGGCAGATGGATTACTGTAGGATCTGGCAGACTTAGAGTTGTGGATAAAAGGCATTTTGCACAGTCCGTTTCTCTACATAATTCATTTTCTGCACTTTCAGAGTGTAATGGTGTTGTGGAGAGAGGCACTGAGGCTAGTGGTGTTGTGGAGAGAGGCACTAAGGCGAGTGGTTTTGTGGAGAGAGGCACTGAGGCTAGTGGTGTTGTGGAGACAGGCTTGGAGACTATGGTGAGGCCTAATAGAAAGCAGTTGTTGTTGGGGGATTTGATCAAAAGAGGTGTGGAGATGGACAATGGTGGTCTTGTGAGGTGTCTTCCCGGAGCTACTGCTCACAGAGACAGAAGACTTATCTTTAATATTGTTAAGCAAGCAAAGCAGGAAGGGGAATTGGATGTACTTGTCCATCTAGGGACAAATGACTTGGCTTGCAATGAGGTTTCAGAGGTTAAGGAAGTTTTTAGTGTTTTTGCCAATGATATACGGCAGGTTGCTTCCACACTGTCATTCTCTGAAGTTCTGCCTGTGCATAACACTCAGAACGACAGGCGGATGCGTATTAGGGACTTTAATTTGTGGCTTGGTGAATGGTGTCGGGAGCAAGGATTTGGCTTTATTTCTCATGGTAGCTCTGTTTGGAATGGAAATAAGCTGTACAAAAAAGATGGTTTGCATCTTTCTCAAAAGGGAACAAATGTTCTCAGTGAGCAGTTCAGAGGTTTTGCTAGGATGTATTTAAACTAGGAGGGGGGGCAAAAGGGTGATAAAACATCAATCCAATTGTCCCCCAAAACAAGGACAGAAGGTGCCTGTAGCAAGTGTGTTAAAAAATGATAAGCTTAGAGTCATGTCTACAAATGCTCGCAGTTTAGGGAAAAAGATCCATGAACTTGTGGCAATAATGGCAACTGATGTAGATTTAGTCGCTGTTACTGAGACATGGTATAATGAGAAAAATGACTGGGACATAGCAATACCAAATGACTGGGACATAGCAGTACTCTTTATATATAAAAAAAAAATATATATAATATATTATAAAGTCTAGCCTAATAAAAGTTAGTGAGACAAACATAGAGTCCGTTTGGGTTACGTTAGAATTTGGTAATCACACAGTAACTCATGTAGGTGTGATTTATAGGCCCCCAGGAAAAATTGAAGAGTTAGATAATCTACTAGTTGAGGAAATAGATAAAATAACAATGAAGGGGGACGTTATCATCATGGGTGACTTTAATCTTCCTGATGTAAATTGGAAAACAAAATTAGCTACTTGTGCCAGGAGCACACATATTCTAAACTCACTACTGGGATTATCTCTAAAACAAGTTGTTGAAGAGCCAACTCGTAAAGAGGCCATACTAGATTTAGTGTTAACAAATGGAGATTTGGTATCAGATATTACTGTAGGTGAAAGTTTAGGATCCAGTGATCATCAGTCAGTGTGGTTTAATATAAGAACAGTGACTGAGTCACACCACACAAAAACAAAAGTTTTAGACTTTAGAAAAACAGACTTTTCTAAAATTAGAATATGTGTAGAGGAGTCATTATCGGACTGGAGCAATTTAAATGGAGTCCAAGAGAAATGGGATTATTTAAAAGTTGCACTATTGAAGGCAACAGAAAATTGCATTAGGCTTGTCAGTAAAAGCAAAAAATTCAAGAAACCACTGTGGTACTCCGCAGATGTGGCCAAAATAGTTAAAAACAAAGTTAGCATTTAGGAATTATAAAAAAAAACAGAGTGAGGGAGACAAAATGATCTATAAGATTAGGCAGAAAGAGGCTAAGCAAGTTATAAGAGCTTCCAAATCACACACAGAAGAGAAAATAGCACAGTCAGTAAAAAAGGGGGATAAAACATTTTTTAGATACATAAATGAGAAAAGAAAAGTAAAACAAGGATTAGTTAGATTAAAAACAAAAGAAAGAAGGTATGTAGAAGAGGATAAAGGTCTAGCTGACTGCCTCAATGAATATTTTTGTTCTGTATTTACAGATGAAAATGAAGGAAAAGGACCTCAGTTGAGAAAAAGGATAAATGAGTCATTTATTACACGTGAGTTTACAGAGGAAGAGGTTCTATTTCAACTGTCAAAAGTAAAGACAAATAAGTCAATGGGACCTGATGGAATACACCCAAAGCTATTAAAAGAGCTTAGTGGTGTACTAGCAAAACCATTAACAGATTTATTTAACCAATCATTGTTAACAGGAGTAGTCCCAGAAGATTGGAAGTTAGCGAATGTTGTGCCCATTTACAAGAAAGGTAATAGGGAGGAGTCGGGCAACTATAGGCCAGTAAGCCTTACTTCAGTAGTGGGGAAAGTGATGGAAACCATGTTAAAGGATAGGATTGATGAACATCTAAAAACACATGGATTTCAAGATCAGAGACAACATGGGTTTACTTCAGGGAGATCATGCCAAACTAATCTTATTGATTTTTTTGATTGGGTAACTAAAATTATAGATCAGGGTGGTGCAGTAGACATTGCTTACCTAGATTTCAGTAAGGCTTTTGACACTGTTGCACATAGAAGGCTTATCAATAAACTGCAATCTTTAAGTTTGGATTCCAATATTGTTGAATGGGTAAGGCAGTGGCTGAGTGACAGGCAGCAGAGGGTTGTAGTCAATGGAATATATTCGAAACTTGGACTTGTCACCAGTGGGGTACCTCAGGGATCTGTACTTAGACCCATTCTCTTTAATATTTTTATAAGTGATATTGCAGAAGGTCTTGATGGTAAGGTATGTCTTTTTGCTGATGATACTAAGATATGTAACAGGGTTGATGTTACAGGAGGGATAAGCCAAATGACAAATGATTTAGGTAAACTAGAAAAATGGTCAGAATTGTGGCAACTGACATTTAATGTGGATAAGTGCAAAATAATGCATCTTGGACGTAAAAACCCAAGGGCACAGTACAGAATATTTGATAGAGTCCTAACCTCAACAATTGAGGAAAGGGATTTAGGGGTGATTATTTCTGATGACTTAAAGGTATCCTGGTGAACAGATAGTTCAGTTTCTTTCTTTTTCTTTTGATGCGTACCAGCTGCCGTTTATTTAGAGGATACTTTATATCCACACTCAAACATTTTAGGCGAACATTTGGAGACTGTTATACCCTGTTATACAGGATAGTTTCTGCCCAGACTACTAGATTGATCTCTAGTGAGAGACTTTAAATTAAGATTTGCTTGGTATACTTTTAGTACTATTTTATTCTCATCTCATTCTCTCCTTTCCATCTATTCTCTCTAGTGTGTGTTAGTTTTTCATTAAGTTTTATTTACTTTTTTTGGGGAACTTTTACCCTATAATAAAGAGATTCCTTATTATTTATTTTTATTTTACCACAATACCCAGAGAACTCTTTCTGTGTTCCTGTGGCGTTTTTCGCCCAGGGATCACTTTCAGTGTTTTGTATTTATCCTTAAGGGTTACCCCCTTTGGAGTTCTCTTGACACACCGTGGATTCCATGTTTGTGGATTATCCATGTTTTCTGTTTCTGTTTAATCTGTCTATTCATAGAGGTTTTAATACCATTTAAGTGTGTCTACATATATACCCTATTACAGAGTGGATATAGATTCCAAACATGGCCAATTTTTTATCCCAATTGACAGACCCAAATCAGTGGTGTACGGATGTGGAGTCAGTCTTTTCAGATAAAGACATGACTTACCTACCAGAGCAAGATAATATAAATCATAAATTTAGAATTCTATCAAACTTATGTAAACAACAAATCAGATTGGGTTGGGAAGTGATGTCTCTACAAAAATATCTTGGTAAATCAATGATACCAAGAGGATTAAGGATCCAGACCATCCCCAATATTGAGATGGACGATCCAGTCCTCCTAAAAGAATGGGAAGAAGCGGCGGATGTCTGCTCAAAGAAATTTATGGACATTCTAGTTAGATTTGAGTCAGATAGGCTGAAAAAGGTAGACAGCAGTAGAAGGTATACAGAGCTGTAGGGATGATCCCTCCTTCTCAGGTCAAGAACAGAGACTTCAACAGAACCTTAATAAATATCAATACACTATTAAGAGTCGTAAACATGGAAAATTTCTGAGAGACAATGAAGATTATAGAAAAGGTAGGGTCTATAGAAGGTTCAGAAAAACTACAAGAGTAGATTCTGATCATTATGCCACTTCTGATTATGAGACATCAGACACGGATAGTGAACAGACTCCGGCCCCCACGGTAAATTGGAATCCACAAACCAATAAGAGCATACTAAAGAAAGGTGTGACTTTTTTAGGGCAGAACCCCCGGGAGGGGGATGTACAAACTCACAGACAGACCAGGAACAGGGGAAGAGCACGCAGACGCTACTAAAAAATGATATGAGGGTTATAAACCTGTCAGACACTATTCTTACATCAACACAGATGGAGGTACTGATGAGAGGCCTATCATTCGTACCAATCCCCCCATTCAACCACTTTGAATGGATAAAAGATGTAAATTTATTTGGCAGACGCTTGACCCTACACAAATTTTTCAAAATAAGAGATGAAAAAAGGGCCAAAGAACTAGGTTTTAACCCAAGAGAATATCAATGTCTACAAGAACTAGTCTCTCTATTAGAGAATAACAACACCAATATTACAGTACCCTACACCGATCTTCGCCCTAAAAGCAGATTCACACCTAACCTTAGAGATTACAAGAATATTGACATGTTTGTGGACTCTACCACAAAGATGATCAAAAAAAATTAATACAGATGTATTAACAGTTAAATCTAGAGGTAATCTCTCAAGGTTAGAATGGAAGGCCCTCTGTGATCTCAAAGATAATGACGATCTCGTCATCAAACCCGCCGACAAGGGGGGGAATATTGTATTAATGAATAGACAGCATTACATACAAACAGCTGAACGTATCCTCCATGATGATCAAACATATAGACTACTTACGTCAAACCCCTCACTTAGATTTCAAAGGGAATACAAGACCCTCTTAGATCAAGCCTTTGATCAAGGTATAATAACGAAAGAGGAATATGCTAGTATCTTCATTAAAAATCCAACAGTGTCTACGTTTTATTGCCTTCCAAAAATACACAAGCAATATGAGATACTTACAGCAAGACCAATAGTATCAGGGTCCAACAACCTTACGAGTAAAGGAAGTATATACGTGGACAAAATCTTACGTCCCTTTGTGGAAGAATTACCATCTTACTTAAAAGACACCAAGGACACTTTGAAGTGTCTAGCATCATTAAAAGTACCCGAAGGGGCAGTACTTTGTAGTTTAGATGTGGAGGCATTATATTCCTCCATACCACACTCAAGTGGTATTGACCACGTTGAATACTTCCTAAGGAAAAGGGGTTTGGAACATATGGCCCATACAAAATTCTTACTGGATCTTTTACGATTCATACTGACCCACAATTTCTTTCTCTTCCAAGATAAGTACTACCACCAGGTGCAGGGAACAGCTATGGGAACATCTTGTGCTCCAGCATATGCTAACCTGCACCTGGGATGGTGGGAAAACAAGATTGTCTTCTCAGATGTACATAAAGAATATACCGACCATATTTATTTATGGAAAAGGTATATAGACGATATTTTAGTGATTTGGACTGGAGTTTTTTTTGTGGAGTTTGTAGATAAATTGAACATGAACAACCTCAACCTCAAATTCACCATGGAGCTGGGTGACCAAACACTTAACTTCCTGGACTGTACATTGACATTAACAGAGAGTCAGGAGGTGAAAACTACCCTCTATCGCAAACCCACATCAACGAATAACATGCTCAGGTGGGAGAGCCATCATCCTATCCCCCTGAAAAGAGGCATTCCAGTAGGTCAGTATCTAAGACTGAGAAGAAACTGTTCTTCCCTTGAGGATTTTCACTGTAAGGCCTTAGAATTAAGGCAGAGATTCAAAGAAAGAGGCTATCCTGGTAGATGCCTTAAGCAAGCGTACCAAAGAGCTCTGAAATGCGACCGTGAGACCCTGCTACAGAATACTATAAAACAACAGTCTAAACAGATTAGATGTATAGCTAATTTTGATGCAGGTTGGGAAGATGCAAAAAAGATCATAGGGCGTTTTTGGCCACTTCTAACTCAAGACTCACATCTTTGCGACATGGTCTCATCGAAAGTATCCATTACGGCCAGAAGGGGCAAAAATATCAGGGAAATATTAGTGCCCAGTCATCTATCAACATCAAGCAAAATAACAAAAAATAGTTGGATCACAGTGCATGGCACATATCAGTGTGGTAAATGTGTGGCATGCACTTATATTGCCAAAGGTTCCAAAACCCTTACTGACTCCACGAACACCATAATAATGCCCATTAAAGATTTCTTTAATTGTAACACCTCAGGTATGATCTACTTACTAACGTGTAAATGCGGCATGAAATATGTGGGCAAGACCATACGCCCGTTTAAGAGACGTATAATGGAGCATATACACTCGGTGACTTCGAAGAGAGACACACCTGTTGCCAGGCATGTGAGACTCAACCATATAGATACACCCAAATGCATAAAATTTGCAGGTATTGAAAAAATAAATATGGGAAGAAGAGGAGGTGACTTGGATCAGATGTTGTTAAGAAGGGAATGTTTCTGGATCCATAAGTTTGACACCTTATCCCCCAAGGGATTAAATGAGGGGTTCACATTTACTCCATTTATTGACCCTTCATAGGAATCTATACTCTGTAAATATGTTCTTCTTATATGTTCTATGTAAATATGTATATATGTGGGTTTTTTCGTGGTTTCTTATATGATATTGAATATAAGCTCTTTATATATAGAGGTGTGAATAGGAGGTTAGGTACAGCTGGATAATTCTATAGGTATATACCTTTAAATTTAGAAATAGGGGGTTATATCATCGTTTGGAGATATAAGGACAGTAGGATCAGGATAGATCATGTGACATTGAGTACCCTAATTACTTTATGTGCTCTTTTGATTTTATAGCGTCACCTACTATTTAGATTTTATTATACATACTCTGTTGAAGTACTGTAAATGTATGATTGTGAACACCATATGATAAAATTCTGATCAAACTCAGACAATGCTTATTAAATATTGCCCACATTTTTGGATAAGTCACACAGTGGATCTTATGGTATATTGTGTGATTTGGATTCCTCCTATGTATGGCTTTAAGCATCTGTGTGTCGGAACTATTCTCCAAAACCCCCGAGAGAGAAAAAATCATGAAGGAGTGGCTTTCCATTCACATAAGAATGATCCCGCCCAAAGAAACGCCTATTGGGCGTGTTTAGTATAATCAGGACGGATACATGAGATCCGTTAATTTTGGCGGGAATCACGGGGACGGCGATGATTGGTCTAAGCCACATACCCGAGTAGGTATATAAGCATACACCCAGCCAGTACCTCGTTTACCTTTGACAAAGGCGCTTGGGTAGCGCCGAAACGTGCGTCAGGACTTATGCCTTATTTTTAATCACAGCACTTTTATTTATGCACTTTAGGAGGTAGAGAGTATGGATGGAGATACCTGAGATATTTATTTAGAGTAGTGGGTAGTTTCGACGGACGGATAAGGATAGCTCTAGCGCATGATAATGTGGAGTCTCTAGGGAGAGCACTAGCTACTACAGAATACTTAGTCCGATATCCTGGTGAACAGATAGTTCAGTTTCTTTCTTTTTCTTTTGATGCGTACCAGCTGCCGTTTATTTAGAGGATACTTTATATCCACACTCAAACATTTTAGGCGAACATTTGGAGACTGTTATACCCTGTTATACAGGATAGTTTCTGCCCAAACTACTAGATTGATCTCTAGTGAGAGACTTTAAATAAAGATTTGCTTGGTATACTTTTAGTACTATTTTATTCTCATCTCATTCTCTCCTTTCCATCTATTCTCTCTAGTGTGTGTTAGTTTTTCATTAAGTTTTATTTACTTTTTTTGGGGAACTTTTACCCTATAATAAAGAGATTCCTTATTATTTATTTTTATTTTACCACAATACCCAGAGAACTCTTTCTGTGTTCCTGTGGCGTTTTTCGCCCAGGGATCACTTTCAGTGTTTTGTATTTATCCTTAAGGGTTACCCCCTTTGGAGTTCTCTTGACACACCGTGGATTCCATGTTTGTGGATTATCCATGTTTTCTGTTTCTGTTTGACTTAAAGGTAGGCAGACAATGTAATAGAGCAGCAGGAAATGCTAGCAGAATGCTTGGTTGTATAGGGAGAGGTATTAGCAGTAGAAAGAGGGAAGTGCTCATGCTATTGTACAGAACACTGGTGAGACCTCACTTGGGAGTATTGTACACAGTACTGGAGACCGTATCTTCAGAAGGATATTGATACCTTAGAGAGGGTTCAGAGAAGGGCTACTAAACTGGTTCATGGATTGCGGGGTAAAACTTACCAGGAAAGTTTAAAGGATCTTAACATGTATAGCTTGGAAGAAAGACGAGACAGGGGGGATATGATAGAAACATTTAAATATATAAAGGGAATCAACACAGTAAAGGAGGAGACTATATTTAAAAGAAGAAAAACTACCACAACAAGAGGACATAGTCTTAAATTAGAGGGACAAAGGTTTAAAAATATTATCAGGAAGTATTACTTTACTGAGAGGGTAGTGGATGCATGGAATAGCCTTCCAGCTGAAGTGGTAGAGGTTAACACAGTAAAGGAGTTTAAGCATGCATGGAATAGGCATGAGGCTATCCTAACTATAAGATAAGGCTAGGGACTAATGAAAGTATTTAGAAAATTGGGCAGACTAGATGGGCCGAATGGTTCTTATCTGCCATCACATTCTATGTTTCTATGTTTCTATTAGTAACAAGGACTCAGTCCCATCTCCCACCTGCCATGGCTTTAGGCCAGCAACTGGGGCAACTCGAGTTAGCTGGCAAACATAGTATGCTAGTCCTTTAAAAGTCATTGAAGCCACTTCTTTAGGAAATCCTGCCATTTTCCTTAAAAACATTTCTCTTATTTCACTGCCCTCCTCAGTTACCTCTCCTCCCTAGCCCAGCTCTCTCTTTCCATAGCCCAACTCTCTCTCTCCATAGCCCAGCTTACTTTCTCTATATCACAGCTCACACTCTCTCTTTAGCCCAGCTCTCTCTCTCCATAGCCAGCTCACTCTCTCTCCATAGCCCAGTTCGCTCTTTCTCTCTCCGTAGCCCAGCTTGCTCGCTCTCTCCATAGCCCAGCTCGCTCTCTCTCCATAGCCCAGATCGCCATCACTTTCTCTCTATAGCCCAGCACTCTCAGCTCCCTCTCTCTTTTTCCGTAGACCGTCTCTCTCTCTCTTCATAGCCCAGCTCTCTCTCTCTGCATAGCCCAGCTCACTCTCTATCTTGCTCTCTCTTCATAGCCCAGCTCGGTCTCTCTCTCTGTCTCTCTCCATAGCCGAGCTCACTCTCTCTCCATAGCCCAGCTCACTCTCTCCCTCTCTCTCTCCATAGCCCAGCTCACTCTCTGTCTCTCTCCATAGCCCAGCTCACTCTCTCTCCATTACCCAGCTCGCTCTCTCTCCATAGCCCAGCTCTCTCTCTCCATAGCCCATCCAGCTTACTCTCTCTCCATTACCCAGCTCGCTCTCTCTCCATAGCCCAGCTCTCTCTCTCTCCATAGCCCATCTAACTCACTCTCTCTCTCCATAGCCCAGCTCTCTCTCTCTCTGTCTCTCCTCATGGCACAATTTTCTCTCTCTCTCCATAGCCCATCTAACTCACTTTGTCTCTTTCCATTGCCCAGCTCACTCTCTCTCACTCTCTCTTCATAGCTCACTCACTCTCTCTTTCCATAGCCCAGCTCGCTCTCCATAGCCCAGCTCACTCTCTCTCTCTGGGTGAATTTTGGATATGTGGTTCACCCAGATATCCCGGTTCCGAAGATATACATTTTATGGGGTTATTGCATGTTTTGGGGTCCTTGTGAGATGTTTTATAATACTGTATTTCTCTGCCTGTGATTATTATATTACCCATTGTATTCAGTAATCATATCACAGGCAGAGGGGAGGATTTTGTGTGGGAGTGTCTGTGTGTATTGTACGGATTGATTGGTTGTATTTCAAAACCCTGTGGGCAGTATTATGTTTGTGGATTGTGAATAAAAGAGGCTGGATGTGCCAGTACAGTCCGTTCTGCTTGACCTCAAAACGAAGTGTCGTCTCGTTATTGGGGGAATTGGATTGTATGCTGATTGCCAGGAGTGCAAGCTGATTGTATGCTTTTCCTGTCCAGCTGCTTACAGCATTCATATGCTTGAGAGCATTCGCATGCTTCTCTGGTTCGGTGGTTGTGGTGTCTGCTACAGTGCTTGGAGTCCTCAGGAAGCGCTAGGAGCATCCTTCAATGGAGGTACCCAGTCGGGGTGCCAGGTGATCCGTTACAGACTCAAAGGCACGGCAGAGTAGGGAAGCTAGTCTCTTTACTTTTAGCTTTGTCTCCTGCCTATATATACAATCTTTTGCAGGGCTTGCCGTTCTGCTAGTATTAAAGGACCACTATAGTGCCAGGAAAAGATACTCGTTTTCCTGGCTCTATAGGGTCCTTGGGTCCCCTTCACCCTCAGGCCCCCACTCCCGCCGGGCTCTAGGGTGGGAAGGGGTTAATCCCTTACCTTTTTTCCAGCTCCGGGCTCCCTCGGCGCTGGGGACTCTCCTCCTCCTTTTCCATCATCAGCTGAATGCGCATGCGCAGCACGAGCCGCGCGCACATTCAGTCAGTCCATAGGAAAGCATTCTCAATGCTTTCCTATGGACGCTGGCGTCTTCTCACTGTGAAAATCACAGTGAGAAGCGCGGAAGCGCCTCTAGCGGCTGTCAATGAGACTGCTATGTCAATGAAACTGCTATGTTTATAGAAAAAAGGGTTAATCCTAGATGGACCTGGCACCCAGACCACTTCATTGAGCTGAAGTGGTCTGGGTGCCTATAGTGGTCCTTTAAACCGCATTTATCTTTTTCCCTCCTCTCTATTTATTAGACTGGCAACATTTGTTATGTTTGCTAGCAGTTACATTTGCTGTTATTCTGTATCTACTTCTTGCAGTATTTCCTCTTACTTCTAAGTACCACTGACTCACAGAGTGACATTACTGAA